GATGCAGGCATGAAATGGAGGAAGAAGTAGTCACTCCAATCAAGGATCGCCCCCTTCTCCACTCCCAGCCTGCTTCCATACCCCTCATAGGTGCTCGGATCGTTTGCATACTCCTGCTTCACTTCAAGCGGTTGATTGAAGAACTCACGCCACAACTCACGGATGCGCCTCATTAGCTCAGGGTTCACACCGTGGTTCACCACTTGGAAGAACCCCCACTCCTGGCACGCCCTGGAGATGCTGCTCAGGGTCTTGGCACGAATGGCCCAGTCATTGCTGAAAAGATGTTGGAGATCAATTATGGGAATATTTTCCTCTATGATTGTGAGCGGAGAAGTATTGATCATCAAGGGGCGATCAGAGAGTGGCTTGACATAACGTTCCGGGATCGTCTGTAGGCCGCTCTCAGATAGGGATTGAACCCGGACTACGGGCTCAGGCCAACTCCGAAGGCAGTTCATGGCTTGCTAAGAGAAGACGAGATTAATTAGAAGAGAGAAAGTTTGGTTGTGGTGCGAAGAAGATATTAGACTTTGGAAGGTTTAAATAAGGATTGGAGGGAGCTGAATTCGGCGCCGGGATCACCCAATTTGGCTGCAATTTGTGTTGGCTGTATTGATAATGACATCAAGAAAGGATACTAGTGGTCTAGTGGAGCTTACTGCTTGGAGTACGTGTTGTCATCCATATTGGGCAGGTTGTATCGCCTGAAAATATATGTGGAGAAAGTTTTTCATCTTTTCTTGAATAATATTTTTTACAATTTTATGTGATTTTACACATTTATATAGACCATATAGTGTAGATTAATAAGAGTGCATTTATTGTTTTTTTTTTTATTAATTGTGTATTAATTAATATTAATTTTAACATTTATGACATAAATATTTTTTATTAAATAATTAATAAAATTAATATCATTTTTTAATTTTATTATGTATATTAATGATAAAAAAATATAACGAATATATTTTTATCATGTGCATACAAAATAGAAAAACTCAATCAATTAATATAAATGGCATGATTCCATTGCCTAAAATACAATACAAACACAATTATTGCATATCTTGTCAACTACAATTTTCTAATTAAGTGGGTATACAAATATTCATAAAAAAAAAAAGGTGGGTATACAAATATATAACCGCTTATCTCATAAAAAAAAAAACAAAAAAGGAAGAAAAGAAATATATATTTATATAAATGTATATATAACTGCTTCGTTTTTTTCAAATAATAATAATAATAATAATAACCGCTTCCTTTTTAAGAACTCTCTATCCCCATTTGAAAATTTAAACATTAAAATAGAATATCAAATTCTTACCAATTTTACCAATTTTCAAAAAATAATAATAATAATAACCGCTTCCTTTTTTTAATGATACTTATTTTGTCTTATAATAATAGTTTTTTATTTAAAATTTATTTTAGAATAATACTTCTTTCATCCTAAAATAATAGATGCCTTTTGTTTTTATCTTGTAATTAAGGATTTTGAGATAATTTTTTATTTTACATATTTTATCCTTTAAAAATAAAAATAAGGAGTTTTTTTTAATAAGATAGATAATTAAAATTAAAAAATAATTATAAGGTTAAGGGTAAAATAGAAAAAAAAAATGTTTTTTCACTTAAAATATGAAAAAATGACTATTATTTTCAAACAAATTCTAATTTTTTTT